GGTGCCCTACCCGGAGGCCAATGAAGGGACTGCTTTCACCCTGCAGGAGGAGGCCGAGGATGGGGGCCCAGGTGAGCATTTGGGTCTAGGGTATTCAATGGCAGACACCTCTCCCGGTCTCTCCTTAGTTTCATCCCCCTCTGTCCCTCTCTCTTCTGTCTCTCCCTCTCTCGCAGACCTCCCAGAATCCCATGTCACCTCCAACGACTCTGACTCGGAGCTGGAGGAGTCCTCCGAGCTGCTGTCCTCAGCAGACAGGAGTGTCCTGAACCACCTCAGCTTCCTGGAGAAGCAGAGCAGTGAGGCCAGCGCGGAGGAGGCCCAGGACAGTGGCAGTGAAGAGCAGCTGGGGCCCTCGGCTGGGGAGGACGGTGACTAGGAGGGGCTGTCCCAGTACACCACCAACCAGTGCAACAACGTAGCTGAGGGCCAACTGCCTGCCATGAGGAACTGTGGTAGGCAGGTCACGGCAGGCACTGGCTGGGAGAGGTGGCCAGAATTTGTCTAGCTGGGGCTATGGGTAGCCTGTACCATGGGTGAAGGCCAAGTGCCACGCCATTCTTGGCTCTGTGGCTGTCCCTGGGACTGGCCACACTGTGCCAGGCTCTTTGCCCGGAGTGCCTAGAGGCCTCTCTGGCCCACAGTGATAAGGGCATCGCTGGCCACCTTTTCCACAAGCTTCTCAGAATGTGGGGCGAGCCCTGTGCCTCTCTGCATGACCCGCTTGGCCGAGCTGGGGACTTTGCTCTCAGGAATTACCATGGGGCTATGTGGACAGAGGAACCTCCAGTGGCCCCTGCCCTCTCCTCAGGGCTGGCCACTCCTTGGACCTGCCCTGAGCTATTATGACCTCTGGCTGCCAGGCTGTGGAAGGCCACTCTGCCAGCCAGCCAGACGGTAGGGGCCAGGCCACAGCACCGAGCTTGGACACCCGGGGTCTAGGTACATGGTGGGGTATCTCCTTCACATATGCATGTATTTTGCTTAAAATAAAGTCTGTTAACCTGAGTGGCAGCTTGGGAACTGGGACACAGGGGGGCTCTTTGCTTCCTTTTTTGGGAAGTTGTGAGGAAGGAAATTCTACCCCAAACAGCCTAGTGGGGTACAAGAGCCCAGGGGGCCTTTGAGGCGGGCCATGCGAAAACGCAGATGTCAGACAACCACCACTTCACACAAATGTCCCACTTAGTGCTATCCAGTAGGACCTTCCAGAGAAAGAGGAAACATTCTCCCTCTATGCTGTCTGGCTGCCAGCTGCCACCTTCATTTCCCGTGGGTGCTCAGCAGTTGCAAATAAGTTCCTCAGTTGAGTCTGGCCTAATTTCATTTCATTTAGTTTGTTTTGATAGAAAAGGCGCAGGAGGGTGGTGGCCACCATCAGGGACAGCGCAGAGAGGACGGACAAGGACCCGCCCTAATGCATGTTACCCTCCTGTAGCTCAGAGATCATCCCACACAGCAAGAGGGTTGGAGAGGGGTGGGCACCCAGCAGAGATGAGCCCCAACTTTTAACTTGGTACAGAAGAATCAGACAGAATCCATGCCCAGTTGTGACAAAGGCAGCCAGGAGAGCAGGGACCTTCCCTCCTGATACAGAACAGTCCCCCAAAACCACAGCACGCTCCAGGCATAGATAAGCAGCAGCTGTGACAAGCCAGTCAGGACACTTTGGAGCAGGCCTCATCCCTGCGGAAACTTTCAAAGAGCCAGAAAAGTAGACCATGCGCGAGCAAACTACAGTCTGGTGCTGTTTTTTGCAAACAAAGATTAGCTGGCACACAGCCACACACCCACTGACAGGCTGCCCTTGCACACCACTTGTTCCCAGCAGAGCTGGGTCACTGCCACTCTGAAAACATTTACTGTCTGGCCCTTTACACAAAAAAACATGCTGACCTCTGACCTTCATTTTTAAAAGGACAGAAGAATTAACGGATAAAACTAATAGTCCAGAGTTCAGCTGGACAGCAGCTTTCTACTCTCAGTGTTGGTCAGATAGCAAATGTCATGAAAAGCACCCCATTCTCAGATGCAAAACCACCTCCCGAACCTGGTGGGTCTGTAAACAACAGCCCCCAACCTGTTAGAGGTGCCTTGACAGGGAGGTCCAACTTCAGCCTCCTAGTATGTCCTGGTGGCAGGGGATTAGGCCAGGCCCCCACCTCATCCCACCCATCCTCCAGGAGTCCCAAAGTGGGTGTCACAGAGCAACGGCCCACCCTGAGCCAATCTCAGGACCTGGGAACAGGCCTCAAACAGTGGCAGAGACAGAATCTGGTCTCCAAGGAACAAAGGGGAACCAGGTGCTACAGGGAGGAGGGCACAAAGGCCACAGTAAACTCCCCCACAGGTGACAGCAGTGTCCATGCCTTCTGTGGCTGGAAGCCTAACCGACGGCAGGCTTTCACCTGCTTCAGAGACAGAGCAAACCCAACTACAGCAAAGGACTTTTCCATGGATGCTTGTGAGGTGAGTCTATTCACTCAAAGAGTAAATACTGAGGAACAACCAAAACATTTTGTGTGGTAAAATATACGTAAAATTTACCATCTCAACCATTTTTAGGCATGCACAGCTCAGGGGCATAAAACACATTCACACTGTTGTGCAGCCATCACCACCATCCATCCTCATCTTCCCGAATTGGAACTCGGCCCCCATAAATGCCAGCTCCCCTTCCCCTGCCCCAGGCTCTGGCTCCTACCGCCGCCTTTCTGTCTCTGAGTCTGACTCCTCTAGGGGCCTCCTGAGTGGAATCGCAGTGTTTTGTGCTTGGCTCATTCTGGCCAAGATGATTTTGGAGAAAAAGGGGACACTAATTCCACCATTAGACATACTGTAAAAACACTTTTAAAACTGAAATTGAGCAATGGAAGAAATCTTGAAAACTTACGTCTGTGAGTCTACATGGGAGAGACAGCCCAGGCTGGCTACCCAAGGATCTGCCAAATACTCCACAGTGTTGAGATCACTGTCTGGGGGAAAGTGACACCCCTGGGTCACAAGGTGCCCAGAAGCAAATCCCAGGATTTAAGGCCTGTGTGCAAACACCACACCTCTAACTGGATATTTAAGAAATACAAAAAATAAAACAAATTAAAAAATAGGATAATTTTTGCAAACTGTCTACCTAACTAGAATAAAGAACTACCACAGCTCAATAACCTTGCTCACCGCCACTGGGATGGACCATAACAAGGGTCCCACAGATGTGGAGAAGCTGGAATCTTTTTATGGGGCTTATAGGAATGTAAAATGGGGCAGCTGCTTTGGCAAACAATCTGGCAGTTTCTAGAAACAGTATCCAGCATTTCCACATGACCCTGCAATTTCCCTCTTAGGTGCACATCCAGAGTACTGAACACAAGTCCCCACAAAACCTGTTCACAGCACCATATTCACAACAGCTGAAAGGCAGACACTACCCAAAAGTGTCCAACAGCTAATGAACTCAGAAACACAATGTGTCCACCCATTGTGGACTCAATGTGTCCATTGAGTTTAATAGAACTCAATGGTGAAGTTCTATTAAATCTTCTGCAATTTATTGGTCAAGAATCCACACAGGCGTGTCCCAGAATATCCTTGGCAAATAAAATTAGTGCAACTCAGTAGTTACAGCAAGAGGACAACACTAGGTCAGATTAAAGGTTTATTGGGCTACCCTACAAATTAAAAATTGACAAATCCAGGATATCACAATGAAGTAGAAGACCACCAAAAACCAACTGATTTTAGACATAAAGATTTAAAAATGTAAGAACAGCTCTGGCTGGTGTGGCTCAGTGGATTGAGCACCAGCCTGCAAATCAAAGGGTCGCCAGTTCGATTCAGTCAGGGCATATGCCTGGGTTGTGGGCCAGGTCTCCAGTAAGGGGCTCTCGAGAAGCAGTAACACATGGCTGTTTCTCTCCTCTTTCTCCCTCCCTTCCCCTCTCTAAAAATAAATAAATAAAATCTTTAAAAAAACAAACAAAACACAATGAAACATCTTACACCTGCCAGAATAGCTATCATCAATAAACAAACAAGTGCTGACAAGGAAGTAGAGAAAAGGGAACCCTTCTGCACTGTTGGGAACGCAGACTGGTGCAGCCACTGTGGAAAGTGGTATGGAGATACCTCAAAAAATTAAAAATGGATCTGCCCTTTGACTCCGCTATCCCACTTCCGGGAATATAGCCAAAGGAACCCAAAACACTATTTCAAAAGAACATAGGCACCCCTATGTTCATTGCAGCATTATTTACAATCGCCAATGTATGGAAGCAGCCGAAGTATCCATCAACAGATGAGTAGATGAAACAACTATGGAACACTTACACAATGGAATACTACTCGGCCATAAAAAAGAAAAACTTATCTTTTGTGACAGTATGGATGGGCCTGAAGAACACTAAGCTAAGTGAAATAATGAGGCAGTCAGAAAGCTAAAAACCACATGATTTCACATGTGGAATCTATGTGGAGTCTAATGAACAAACTGAACTAACGAGGAAAATGGGGACAGACTCATACACGGATGGAGAGCAGGATGACAGCAAGTGGCGGAGATGACGGGGTGGAGGGACTGGGCAAAATGGGAAAAGGGCTCATGGGCATGGACAACAGTGTGGGGACTGCTGGGGGAGAGGGGCTATAAGGGCGCTAAGTGGTAACGGGAAAAATACAATAAAGATGGCAAAATTTAAAACACACACTAACATTAGGTTCACAGGTTCTGCAAAAAATCTCAACTTTGATCCTTATTTAGGCAGGCAAAACACTAACTGAATAAAAACTGACAGGCATCGAGAGCACTTCTTGGCCTTCGCCCTCCCTTCCCCCAGGAGCATCAGCTTTGCCTGCCCTCAGCCCCAAGGGCCCTTCTTTTGCTTCTGTAACTTGTTTCCTGAGCCTCCGCAGCCCAGAAGGCCAGAATGAGCAGAAGTGAGTCCTCAGTAAGTAAACGAGGGAAGAAACTAAAAACTAGAACATTTAAAGAAAAAAATTCTTTTTCACATTGGACGGGTAATGTGCCAATGCCGTAACAAGGTTTGAAGGAGGCACATCTCACAGAAGGGCATGAACACCCAATCACCATGCTTATGAGCTATAAAAATATAAAAAACACATCTAAAATTTTAAATTAAATGCTACAATAATGCCAAGACTTTCGTTACTGGGACATACAAAATTATTAGTTTAGCAACAACACGTAAGAAAGTATATAGGAAGAGAGCTGTGCTTCCTTAAACAAATGGAAATACTGGTATTTTGAAACTGAGTGGAAACCACATCCCCAGAATTCTGTATGACTTAAAGGTGTTCTTGACAGTAAATTTATAATTAACACTGTAGGATTTACAAAACAATGGGTAATTAGCTCTGGTTGGTGTGGCTCAGTGGCATGAGCGCTGGACTGTGAACAAAAGGGTTGCTAGTTCGATTCCCAGCCAGGGCACATGCCTGGGTCATGGGCCAGGTCCCCAGTGGTGGGGCATGCAAGAAGCAACCACACTTGGGATGTTTCTCTCCCTATTTCTTTCTCCCTCCCTTCCTCTCACTCTAAAAATAAACAAAATCTTTAAAAAAACCAAAACAATGGCTAATCAATTGTATTAATGACTATAAAATCACCATCAACACTATCCTGTTCAAAAATTCTAGACATGGAGAAAGATCATTTGTAACATCATAGCCCAAAGCTTATCACAGTTTCTGGTTTACTGTTATACTTAAAAGTCCTAGTTTTCCAGCTACCACAAAGTTAAAATTCTCAATTTGCTTCCTAGCTTTCAAACATCACCAATTAACTTATTGGTGTGCTTAGTGCGATTATTAAGTGTAAATGAACGGCTAACTAGAAAGTGAATTAAAGTGTGTACGTTAAGCCTGACCTCAGCTTCAATGAGCCTTTTCTTCAGAAGAAACTCCACAAATCTCAGAGCATTTGTTTTGCTTGAAGCCTAAGAAGTTGTCTCCAAAGCAGCCATACATGGTCCTTATGTAAAGCATCAAGAACATATGTCAGGATGAACAACGCAACTGACTCAGGAAGAGCAGAGCTAAATGGCTCAGTATCACTATTACCACAGGACCCACTAAGCGAATGTCCTCTACAAGCTACTTACAGAAACCCTCAGATAATCACCCCCAGTGTGTGGAGAGCTTTACAATGACTACAGGTAGTGTTTTTCTACAACTGTCACTCCCCCCCCCCCCGCCTTACTTACTAGTTTTTTTATCATTTGCAGTCTCTGTAGCATGTAAGTACTAAGGGACAGAGTTCAGAAACTGGTGTGTGGGGGTTACAGTCCTTATCATCATCATTCATTAACCAAATACTAAGCATCTACTATGTATCAGGCATTATTTCTACACAAAACACCAGTGGAGAAAAACAGACCTCTTGCCCTCCAGAAGCTTATGCCCTGTCAGGGAAGACAGGATAAAAATGAGCATGTAAGATACGCAGGATGCCTGGAGGATAAACTGAGAAAGGGGAACAGGGAACTTGCAGTTCAGACAGTAGCTGCAGAAGCCCCAGGTGACATCTGAGCAGCCCTGAGGGGGAGGGAACTGGCCGTGTGGATGCCTGGAGACTGGGACAGAAGTCCTGCCTGCAAGGGGGTTGGGCGGTGCCCCAGGCCACTGTACGCAGCCTTCAGTCCTACTGTTACACGTACCTGAGCACCTTTTACCTGGAGGTGAGCTCCCTTTTCACTTGCACATGTAAACATAACAGAACCATGGAAGGCGCCATTTCCTATGTCATGAAAAGAACGGAGCTCTGCCCATCATCATGTCTGCACTCCAGCTGGGCCACAAAACCTCACTGCTCCAAACGTGAGGAAGGAAATGCTGCTTGAAATCAGCTGGCCAGGCCACCACCACCCAGGTCTTTGTACCCCTACTCAGGGAAGAACCTAAACCACTGCCAAAAGCAAGCAAGATCTAAAAGCCACATATGTCCAGAAATAAATGCAGCACAGACTATTCCAATTCAGTGCAGCTGAGAGGCTTCCTCGCCTCCGAGGGCCATGTTTGTGATTACCAGGGAGCAGGGCAGAATGTCTGGTCTCTCCAAAGGGTGGACACATCCACCCACCAGGAAATATAGATGGGAGAGTGGCCTGCCTGTGCTGCAGGACACTAAAAGGTAATCTGCATGACCGAAGACTTGACCTGGGATAGTGAGCACACACAATACAATACACGGAGAATATATTATAGAATTGTACAACTGAAACCTATATTAACTAACACCACCCCAAAAAATTCAATTAAAAAAGAAAAAAAAAAAAAGATAACCTGTACAGCTGCTCAAAATGGCAGCAGAGGTGAAGTGGAGAAGAGGGTGTGGTTGTTAAGAGTTGGGGTTGCTTTTGAGGATAAAATGTCCCAGAAGTGATAGTGATGGGTGCACAGCTGGGAATATATTAAAAACCACTGAACTGTGAACTGTAAATGAGTAAATTGTATGGGATGTGATTACGTCTTAATAAAGCTATTAAAAATATACACGATTGCTTTTAACCTCGGGAAGGAAGGCCTTCTGGAACCAGACACTGAAGGGGAGAAGGGGCTCACTGTCCCCCAAACATTTTTAAAAAAAAATATTTATTTACTTTTAGAGAAAGGACAAAGAAGGGAGAAAGTGAGAAATATCAATATGAAAGAGATCCATAGATTGGTTGCCTCTTGCACGCCCCCAACCGAGGCCCTGGCCCGCAACCCAGGCATGTGCCATGCCTGGGACTAACCAGCAACCCCTTGGTTTGCAGGCTGGCACTCAATCCACTGAACCATACCAGCCAGGGCAAGGACCCCAAACTTCTACATGAGAAAAGCATATGGGAGCACAGCTGGAAGTGAGCACTGGAGGGCAGGTGCATAGACAGCCAGCCAGTCATGGCTGTGGCAGTTCAACGGTGGGGGGCAGAGGGGGGCCCTGAAGACCCTGCTTTGAAGCCACAGCAAACCTGTTCTCCCACCTGGGTTTTTCAAACAAGTGAAATTGTTTACTCAAAATTATCTTTAATTTTAAAACGCCCAGCATTCAACACCAACTCAAAATCCAGATGCATTTTAATTTCCTGGCCTGCTGCCCTCAGTGTGCTCACAGTTGACTCCTGGACAGGGACAGGGCCACTGTGAGGGCGGCACAGAGATGGGAAGCCAGAAAGAAGTGGCGGCTGACGAGAGACTCAGACCCATGTCCCATTTGTGGGGAACACGCTCAGGATGCCCGGGGGGAAGCAAGAACCTGTCCTGGTTGCTGGTGGGCTCACTGGCCTCCCCTCAGGATCCTTTCCCCTCCTGAGACACCATTACACAGGACCGCAGGCAGGGCTCAGTGTCCAGGTGAGGACATGGGGGTCCTCAGCCCACGAAAGGAAGCCAAGCAGCCTGCCTTGGGGTCCAGAGGAACTGGGGGTAGGTTTCAGGGGTTGAGCAGATTCCCGTGGGGCAGGTCGCCAGCATGCCAACTGCCCAGGGCAGGGTGGTCACAGTCCATTTGTCTGTCTCCCAGGGGCTGGGGGAAGAGAGGAGAAGGCCATCATGTGATATGCCTGTCACATGAGCTGGGCACACCCTGGCTGCTGGTGTCGCTGCTGCTGGACAGTGAAGGGCTGTGGCAGAACCTGGGAGGGGGTTGGGGTAGGGCACAGGAAAGCAGGTCCAAGAAGGAGGGTCTAATCTCTATGCTCCAGGTCAGAGCACCGGCAGGACAGGTAACAGACGCAGCTCACTTAGGGAGAGTTGGGTGCTTCCTGAACTCCCACACTGTATGCAGACACACTCCCACCCCTACCCAGATGCCCCAGCTGGGGTGGCATCTGTCTCACCTGTTGGGCAGTAGGGTGGCTAGGCTACTGTACCAGCCGGTAGGTGATGTATCTGCCTGCGGTTTCGCTGGGCCGGATAATCTTCACCACCTGCACCAGGGTGAGAGTAGGGCTGGGAGGGGCCTCCTCAGGGACCCAGCTGTGTGTGTGAGGCGGACGGGGAGGGGGAGCGGCATGGCTGGTGGCCCCAGGACCCTGACCCTGGGCAAGAGACCTGGGGCAGCCCTGACTCTAAAAGGAGCTAGAGTCAGGGAGGGGTGGATCCTGAGGGTGCCGTCTAGGAGGAAAGGGGCTGAGGGCCGAGCTCTCCTGGCAGGAACGGCCTCTCACCTGCCCTCGCTTTATCCCAAAGTAGCGAGCCACAGGGTCTCCAGCCTGGATCCTGGGCAGCTGGTTCTCTCGGAGTTTACTGGGAAGTTCAGTCAGGAAAAAAAAGCCATGTAGAGCTAACTGGGAGGGATGGAGAATCCCAAAGAAGAGGACTGGGGAGGGGAGAGGATAGGGAGGCCAGAAAGGATACTACCGGGCCAGTAGCTCTGTCACCTCCTCCTTGGTCATGACGACATGCTCTGGGACCAGCTGCCAAGAGAATCTGTGTCTCTAGAGGGCCGTGACAGACCCCGCTGTGTGCCACACCCCTACATGGGAGCCGGCTAGTGTGCCCCTCAGGGGGTCGGCACCCCACCCTGTGGCCGTCATGCAGATGCCTTGGGAGACAACCTGGATCCCCTGCAGCTTCCAGAACAGATCTCCCCTCAGGTCACTGGAGTGGTCCTGGGAACCTGCACTCCTAGCAAGGCCCCAGCTGATGCTGATGCTCCGGGGCCCGGGAGGCTACATACTTTGAGAGCTTGGCTCTGCTTCCTTCACTGTCTCACCGCTCTCTGCCACCCAACTCCCCCCACCTTCCCCAGGCCCCACCTCGTGCTCCGTGATGTTGATGAGCAACTCCTGTTGCAGAAACTGCTCCAGTATGTACTTGGGGGCCATGTCAACCAGGGACTAAAAGAGACAGAACCTCAGGCTCAGCCACAGCTCCCACCCAGGGCCTTACCTACCCACCCTTATGTGACTGGAGACAATTAGACCTGGTTTGTTTCTTCCCCATGGGCCAGGGCAGGCAGGAAGCTGAACAGGTTTGATCTTGTGCTCAACGAAAAGCCGGGCATCATAGCTGGGAATACCCATCCCACATGTGGGTTTCTCCCTGCTAGCCCAGCCCTCAGCACATCTCTAGGCCTTGGCTTGGTGTCACAGAATGAGTTTCCATCAGTCGAATGAGTCCAAGGGTTGTCCGAGCTAGTGTGGTGGCCCTTCCCCAGGAGAGGATCAGGATGGTTAGGACTCTGCAGCTCCCAAAGGCACAGAGAAGAGGGTGCTTGCTGCTCCTTCAGCCTCCACTCAGGCCTGTCCAACCTCAGAGGGGCAAGATGGGTCTGCTCTGTGGATGCCCCATGCAGCCCACATAGGGCAATAGCTCCTTCTCAGACCCCAAGCTCCCGCACCAGGACATGGAGTCCATGCACCAAGGGGCTAGAGTTGAGCGTTGCCCAGGGTGTAGCAGGTGCCCTGGGTGAAAATAGTGGTGGGGCCTCACAGGAAGTGCCGCAGGGAGGGAAGTGAGGCCCAGGACCGAACGTGAAGAGGAGCGGTCAGGCTCATCGCTGTGGGGGCGCCTACCTGCTTGGCGGAGGGCGTCATGCCCTGCTGCACCACAATGAGGGCCCGGGTGATGTTCTCCTCCTGCATGCGCTGACAGTACACCTTGATGGTCTTGATTCCCACCTTGGGCTCCTCTGCAGGCAGAGTGCATGCTGGTCTACAATACCAGGTCCCTCACCTGCCCCTTCCCAGGCACGTGTGGCACCCCATTCTGGGGCCTGTTGCCCAGTTTGCAGAACAGGGGCTGGCTGCCTCCAGGTCAACAAGCTTCTGAAAGGCATCTGTGCCCCTGGACCTTAGAGGGTCCCTGTATAGAAGTGGGTGTTCTGGGAGTCTGGGTTTGGTTGGGTGCCTCACTGGTGTCAAGGTTTTGGAACCCCCGGGTTAAGTGGCTCGTTTAATCTGGGAGCCCATGAGGCGCATGGCTGTGGTGAGGTGAGGTTGGCTGATCTGCCATGGAGACAGACCACCTACCCTGGAGTCCTTATGTTCTCAGCAACATTCAGGGTAGGGGCTCTGTCACTGAGGAAGTGCTGGATCCTACGAGCCAAGCAGGTCAGTGTCTGGGCTCCAGCCACCACGATTCGTGTGAGACTCCCAGCTGGGCCTCTACCTCTGTGCAGTGCGTATCACTCCACTGATGGGCAGGGTCTTGGGCTGAGTTGTGTTCCCCCCGAAATCCCCATTTTCAAACCCTAACCACCAGGACCTCAGAAGGTGACTGCGTTTGGTAATGGGGCCTTCAAAGAGATGATTAAGGTAACAGGAGATCATGTGTGAGTCCTGATCCAATCTGCCTGGTATCCTTTTAAGAGATTAAGACAGACATTAGAGACCCTGTGAGGATGCAGGAAGGAGACAGCCACCATTTACACATTTAGGACAGAGGCCTGAATGGGAACCAACCCAGGGAACACCTTGATCTGGACTTCCAGCCTCCAGAGCTGGGGACAACAAATGCCTGTTGTTTAAGCCCCTCTTGTGTAGAGTTTTGTTATGGCAGCCCCACCAAACCAACACAGGCAGAAAGCTCAGCCCTGCCCTGAAGCATGTCCCAGAAAAGCAGTGATGCCCCCAGTGTCACTTAAGACCAGGAAGTACAGCGAGACCTCCCACTCCAGGGAGGAGCTAACCCCTGGCAGGTCTCGAGATGGCTCCATGGGAGGCCTGTGATAGGCATCAAGGCCTCAAATGATCATGTCTCAAACATGGGGACATTTTTCTTAAAAAGTGACACCAACACCCTGGCTGGTGTGGCTCCATAGACCGAAAGGTCGCCAGTTCGACTCCCAGTCAGGGCACATGCCTGGGTTGTAGACCAGGTCCCTGGCTGCGGGTGTGTGAAAGGCAACTGATCATTCGATGTTTCTCACACTGATGTTTCTTTCCCACTCCACCTCCCTCCCTGTCTCTCTAAAAATAGATAAATTAATTAAATCTTTATTTATTTTTTTTTTAAAAAAAGTGTCACCAGGTTCTGCTCTGCCCACCCCCTTCACTATGGGCACAGAGTTGGCCCAAAGGAGCAGGACACAGCCTAGCCCAGCTTTTGCAGGCCTCAGAACCAAGCTGCTTCAGTGGGGTAGGTGTTAAGACAGAGGAACACAGGAGTCTCAGGACACCACTAAATGGCTCTTCACTCAAGCTGGGGTTCAGCGGGACTCCTAGTAGAGAAGGCACCTGAGCGAGGTCTCCAGGGACAATGACTAGATACTGAGCAGGCAGAGGGAGGAGGAAAGGGTATGGTGAGGTGGGGGAATTGGCAGGAAAGAGGCAAGGATCCTGCAATGGTGCAGAAAGGAGCTTCAGGAAAGGTAGGTGCTGGGAGTGGAAGCTGGGCTGGTGGCGGGAGAACACAGTGGGTCTGAGGGCAGGAGGGGCTGGAGGCTCGGCTGCAAGGCCTACAATAATCCTGGTCGAAGAAAACAGCCTAGGAATAGAGAATGGGAAAGGGGACCAAGAAGGAAACTGAAAGGCACTTAGAGGGGTCAGAGATCAATGGTGTCACCCACAGCACAGAGGGCAAGGGGGAGAGCTCTTTTCTGGGTCACACAGCAGGGGGCGCTGTTAATAAACTAGATCCTGAGCAGGCCCTTAGGTGGTTCCATCAAAGCCGTGACCCCTCCAGCACTAGCAAGACACTCACCTGGGAAAAATACAAACATCTGGTCGGTGGGGTCATCGTTGTGGGCCACCAGCACAGTGAGGTCTGTGCGCCGTGGCCGCCCTTCACTGGGCTTGTCCCCAAATTGGGCCTTGAACTCCTCCAGTGTCTGGTCTAGCTCATCCTGAGTCACCAAGTAGCCTCGATCATGGCACAGCTGTGGACAGAAAGAGCCAGGTAACACCAGGGTGGAAGAGGGATGACAGCAAGAACTTGGGCCAAACGAAGCCACTATGAGGGCAACATAGGGAGTTTGGGGCTCAGTGTGGCAGGTGTGTGAAGAGGCCAGAGAAGAGGGATGGGGAAGGTGAGGACAAAGATGGGGCACACCCCAAGAGAGCCGTTGCCCTACTCCAGTTAACCAGCTGCCATGAGTGTTGTCATTTTATCCTGACCCGTGGGGAGAGGCTGTGATTAGGAAGCAGCTGCAGGGCTGGGACTTGGGGTTGCGGCACTGGGGCAGATGAAGACAACTGGGTGGAAGGGGCGTTGCTAAACTCGCTAGGCAGACTCTGGTTGGGAAACAGATAACAGCTTGAGGGCAGCAGTTCTAGGTCTTGTCCTGGACATCAGGGCTCTTTGAGTAGACTGACTAGAAGAAGATCCAAATGGAGAAAGAGGAGGTCAGAGCTGGTACTCAGCCTGGCTCCCGACCCCCTTTGCTCTGTGAAGTCCCCACACCCTGATTCTCTCTCAGGACCCCAACACTGTCCGCCTGTGGCACAACCGTTTCAATCCCTGTCTTAAACAAAATAATGAGAAAATAAGGGAAAAAAATCCCTGTCTTTGGGATAGCTTTGCAAAGCAGTGAAGAGGCTGGGTTTGGCTGCCTCAACTTAGTCGCAGCAAGATTCCTGTGAGGCGAGTGCAAAGGCCAAGGTCTTGGTCAACACCACGCACCTCTGTGGTCTCTGGGGATTACAATTACCCCCCACCCCCTGCCATGGGGTGGCTTAAAGCACGTAGCATGTACTGATTGCTCAACCAGCTTGCTGCTATCACTCTATCCCAAGTAACTTAAAGTTCATGACTGAAGCACTGAAGTAGCCACCAGAGAGAGATCAAAGAAATACCTACAATGAATGATAGCAGGTCAGACCAACTAAGCTAGGTTCCTTCCAGCCCCACAATCCTGGAATTATATCCTATGCACTTGGAGTAGTGCTGGAGCCTTCCAGGAAGTAAACAAGAGACTGCGGATGAAAAAGGGGTTCTATGGAAAGTAACCTCAAAGGGTGAATCCCTAACTGGGCAGGTCATAGTGGGTAGCCACGTCCTAGGCCTGTAACTTTTTTAGCATAAGGTTTATCTTTGCCTTAAGTAAACCCTGTCCATTGTTCTTCTGCAGCCAGGTTACACACCTTTGGTATACGCTGTGACCACTCTCAGGAGAGTACATAATCTTATTATCTATCTTGTAACCCAATCCCTGCACTGTTTTCTCCCCCTTTCATGCAATCTTCCTTACATTCCCTCAATTCCAAATGCATAAAAGAAACTACAACATTGTCATTTTCCGAAAGCGTATTTGACATCTTGCTTCCAGGAATGTCGTCAGTTTTGCTTAAAATAAACTCTTATAAAAGTTATTTACAGATTTAGACGTTCTTTACGTTGACAAAACACTGACACGTAGAGACAGCGAACATCCCGGGAAGTCAGACCCCAGACTCCTTCACTCCTTCGGACTCACAACTGGGCCACGAAGGCCCGCCTTCACCGCGCTCGCCAAACAGGGAACCCCACGCGGACTCACCTGCATAATGGTCTTGCGAATCTTCCACAGCCGGTATGTCTCCTCCTCGTCGTCCATGCCTCCCACGGCTCGCACTCACAACGCCTGTGCCCCGCAGGACTCGCGCCGATTGCGCCTGCGCCGAGCCCCGGTCAGGCCCCCTTAGCCTCTCAGTTTAAAGCTGTCTTCAGCGGACGCCTGAATGCAACGACCTTCCGGAGTGGCAGTGCCAAGGGCAGCCCGAGCCTTCCGCTAGCAGCGGTTCGCCATTGGCGTGCAAAAGGCACTGCCCACCCTCGCCTGCGAAGCTGTCGCGTGTTTTTGACTGCACCGCTTTTCCAGAATTAGAATTTTTTCTCAACACTGGCCTCAGGGTGGCAGTTTAGAATCCCAACGGGCAGAAGCGAGAGAACTGAGGACCAAGATAGTGGTGCCAGGGGTGTGCTCTCCGTCCAGGAACAGTCGGGCTGATTAGTAGTGGCTCCATAAATATTTGTGCATCCTCTTTAGGGAGGTTGTAGGGAAGTCCTCTCAGTTGGCTCTGGGCCACGTGCAACCTAATGGCCTCGGCCTCAGCTTTCCCATCTGTACAATGGAAATAATAAAGTGTCCTCACTTAAGAGGGTTAGCTGAGAATCTAAAGGGGCAACGATGCTTGGGACCAAAGTGGTCGGCATAGCTCCTGGTGCTTATGACTTTTACCCACTTCCTGTCCCCTGAACCCCAGCCCTATCTCTGCCTGGATAGCTCCCTGAGGCTATACAGGAGGCTCGCCAAGCCCAACCCAGTCCCTGCCACTTGGAGACCATCAGTAACTTCTCATTCAGCAATACATTTATTCAATCAGATATTTACTGAATAACCAGGGACAAGCACACTTTACAATCCAGGAGGAGATGGGATAGACACATTGAATGTAATGGACAATAATGTGAGAAGGTGACAATACTTTGTGAAAGGCCAGCTATGGGTAATGGGAGGTTTACAAGTGCCAGATGGGAGGTCAGGAAGGGTGAGGAGAGTTTCCAGCAAAGGCCCAAAGGAGAAGAGAGAGGGAGGTGGGGCTGTTTGGAGGAAGGTGTACCAGGGTACCATCTGTGCCAAGGCTCTGGGGCTGCACCTTGCCTGGTTGGCAGCTGTAGGTCTCTGGGGGGAGGGTAGGAGAGGAAGTCAGAGGATGGGGTGGAGCAGATGTTGCAGGCATTGTTAATGGGGCTGAAAAGTTTGTGTTTTCTTTTCAGCCATTTTCAGAGAGACAAAGGAGGGGCTGCAGAGATTGCCCTGCCCTGAGAGTGGCGAGTGGTGGTCCTGGCTCTAGGTGTCCTGAAGGAGGCACCCACAGGATTTGCATGATGGGGTTTGGAGATGAGGGAAAACAGAGGTGCCCTGACTAGGATGGGAAGACCCAGGGGGCAGACTTTGGGGGACTCCAGTGAGACCACAAGGGCAGACACTGATGAAGCGGGGAGGATATGAGTCTGGAATTCAGGGAGAGGTCCAAATAGAGATAGATGTGTGGGCGCCATGGGCACACCGTGGAGATTAGAGCTGGGAGCCTGGATGAGGTCACTCGCACATCCAGACCAGAGGCCAGGAGGAGGGAAGGGAGCAAGCAGTAGAAGAAACAGAGGTGTTTGCTGACCCTGGACCAATTTTGGCTATGTGACCTGAGGCATGTTATTTAGCTTCTCTGTGCCTCGGTGCCTCCCTCCCCCTACCAAGAACAGTATCCACTTCCTGGGGTGACATGGCTAATGATTGAGCGCCTGACACTGGCATTATATAAGTGATCTTACATAGAATAAAGGGAAGTGGGAGGCTGCCAGGTGTCCCGGAACCAGGTGAAGACGGTGTCAGGAGGAGGAGGGAGCAGCCATCAAAACCACCACACTGCGAGTCTGAGCAAGCCTGAGGACTGGGTAGAGATTTAGCCAAGTTGACATTGTTCATGACCAGGAGGAGGGCAGATCCAAGGAACGGGTAAAAGCCCGGATGGGGCAGGTTTGCAGGAGGAAAGGAATTGGAGATGTGACTAGATGCAAAGAGGAGCAGTGGGAAGAAGAATGAGAGGACCAGGTTAGGTTTTTCCAGGAGAAAGGGCTTGCAAGAGCAAGTGGGCCTCAGGACCCCAGAGAGGCTGGCAGGGCTTGACCACAAGGCTGATGACTCAGAGTCCTGCCAGTGACCATGTGGCCTCAGCGCCAGGACACAGACTGGCAACCTGCTCCTTCACGCCCTCACTATGGCGTTCCACCGGCAGAGCCTGAGGCCCAGAGATAAAGGCCTCCACCCACACACTTGTGCGTGGGCAGGTGAAGTGGGTCAGCCACTGTGGAAAACAGTCTGGCAGCTCTTCAAGCAGATACAAAGAGTTACTACGTGATCCAGCAATTTCACTCCTAGGTTCATAAGGAGAAATGAAAATACATGCCAATACCAAAACTTGTACAGCATTACCAAACCAAAAGGTGAAAACAACCCAAAAGTATATCAGAGGATGAATGGATGCAGAAAGTGGTCCATCCACACACTAGAATATTATTCAGCCAAGGAAAGGACTGAAGCAGTGATACTTGCTACAACATGGATGAACTTGAAAATGTTGACACTCAGTGGGAGAAGCCAGACACGAAAGGCCACAGAGTGCGTGATTCCATTTTCATAAAATGTCCAGGGTAGGAAAATCCACAGAGCTTGGAAGTGAGTTAATGTGTGTCAGGGGCTGTGGGGGATGGGGAGTGACTGCTAACCAGGACTAGGTTTCTTTCTTTCTCTCTTCCTTTCTTTCAGATTCTATTCATCTTTAGCCCTGGCTGGTGTGGCTCAGTGGATTGAGTGCTGGCCTGTGAACCAAAAGGTCAACGGTTCAATTCCCGGTTGGGGCATATGCCTGGGTTGCAGGCCAGGTCCCTGGTTGAGGTCACACGAGAAGCAACTGCACATGGATATTTCTTTCTCTCTTTCTCTCTCCCCTCTCTCTCTAAAAATAAATAAATAAAACTTTTTAAAATTTATTTTTTAAAAAGATTTTATTTATCTTTAGAGAGAGGGGAAGGGAGGGAGAAAGAGAGGGTGAGAAACATTGATGTGCGAGAGATATATTGATCGGCTGCCTTGCCTGGCCTCTTCCATGCCCTCAACCCGGGGACCTAGCCGGCAATCCAGGCATGTGCTCTGACTGAATCAAACCGGTGACCTTGCGGACTGGCACTCAATCCACTGAGCCAGACCAGCCAAGGCAGGACTGGGTTTCTTTTGAGATGATGAACATTTTGAAATTAAATAGAGGTGATGGTTAATGTTGTAAATATACTAAAAACCACTTTAATTGTATACTTTAAAGTGGATAAAATGGTGAATTTTGTGTTATGTAAATTTTATCCCCATTTTTTTAAAAAGAAGAAAATCAGACCACAGGAAAGGCCCTGTCCAATCCTTCCTGGAACTGGCTGCCACTCTAGAAAGGCCTCTGGTCAGTGGGCAACTCACCTTCCTCACTGAGGGAATTCAGCCACCACAGGGTAGCCTCCCTGGAGCCTTGAGAGGACCCCAAAACCCCATTACCCCATTTGTAAAATGGGGTCCCTTTGGCAAAAGCTGTGAAACCCCAAAGGCAAACCCCTTCCAGACCCTAGGGTGTACTTCCCCTACTGGGCAGCTGCCCCACCCCCGTCTCTAGGATTGTCTCCTCTCCTGCTCTTATCTCCTATGTAATTGACAGGAAGTTAGGAATGGGGTGAAGCACCCCATGCTCCATCTCTCCTCTTTGGTGCAGTCCAAGGGAACCTCTCCCTGTGCTGTTTTTCTGGCAACTCCAAAATGAATTACAGCAAATACCAACTTAAACAAAACTGGCAACAGCTCAGCCTTCCTAATGGCCAGACTGGCCAGGGCACCAGTGCTGCCAAGGGGAGGAAATGCTGGGGATGGGGTGGGAGTTGTTCCTGAGAACTGAGAAGGCCCAGCTGAAACAATGCTTCCTCCCCAGGGGTGACTCCCAGAACTTGAGAGAACTGCCATGGTGGCCTGTCTGGAGGGAAGAAGCCACAGTGAAGAACATTGCGCAAGGAGAACTAGCAACCCAGCCTGGGGGAATTTCTCCCTCCACTAGTTTTACCACCTGACTTGGCCATTTAAGAACCTGCTCTGCCCTTTGACAGGCCTGGGTCTGGGGCGAGGGAGAGAGAAGGCTCAATGGCTCCCACAAATAAACCTAGCCCCAAGTATTCCTGCCCCGTGGCCTCTGCATAAATGTTCATGGGAGGGTCTGAGAAAAGGATTTTTACAGAGCACAAGAGGCTGAAACCACCCTTCTGTCCCAAAGTCAAGGTTCAGTAATGGCTGGGGGATGGGGGCAGGGGAAGCCAGGACTGCTGTGGAATTCCATGACTCAGGTCCCAAGAATGGGGTGGGTCATTTTTCTGACCGCTGTGGCCCAGTGTCTAAGGCTTTGAGTGCGGCCCTTCCGGTTCTGTGTGCGCATCTGCCTGTAATTCTCTAAGTGGATACGTCGCTCTGGGGTTGTCTTTCCTTGTAAGCACACACCTGGACATCCCTGCGTGTACTCCCTGGGTGGCAGGATACGAGGGAGTGTTTTAACGAACCCCCCACAGGAATCAGGTGTGACATATAAGCGGCTAAAGCGACGGTTCCCTTAGGACAGTGACGCCTCGGCCACTGTGCGCAATGGCAGACACTGCGGCAGCGGACGACTCCGGCAAGGGCACCCGCCACTAAGTCACCTCCATGCAATCGCTGGGCGCCCACAGATGGAGCCGACGCGCCCCCACAGCCCCGAGAGAGACGGAGTCTAGCCCCGTATGGTTTTTATTGACATTAAAAACAAAACCCCCAGTTTTCAGGAGCTGGGGCGGTTCTTCTGCGAATTCGAGCCATCTCCACTCCGGTTTCCAGTAGTTTTTCAAGTTGTCTGGTATCCCGCGGCGCTCTGGTCTACCATTCACATAACTGTCTCACCGCCGCGAACGAGCCGCTAGCGAACACGCGGCCGCCCACCCGCCAGCGAGCAGGCGCAGTCACAGACAACAACAAAACCGCAGCCCGCGACCCCACCCACGCAAGCCTCGCATTCCGGCCCCCCATTGGCTATCTCTGTGACGCGTAACAGCGCCCGGGCGGCCGGCCAATGAGAACGCTTATGGGCGGGGCCG